CAGAAATCACAACAATTTTGTAATTATTATTTAAGAACAACGAAAAAAAAACTATCCAATTACAAACACAAAGTAATAAGACCAAATCCAAATAAATAGTGTGTGACGTTTCGGTGACAGAGTTATTATCATCTTCATACAAAAGTACTGAATGAGAAATTTTACCACAGCATGTTTTAAATAGTTACTGTTATCAAGTGTGTAAAGTAACAGTAACTATTTAAAACATGCTGTGGTAAAAATTCTCATTCAGTACTTTTTTCTGAAGATGGTAACAACGCTGTTACCAAAACGTCACACACTATTTATTTATTTGGTCTTATTACCTTGTGTTTATAATCTATAATCCAAATTGTGCCGTATCATCTACCCAACAAATTTAACAACTCTGAGAAGTTAGAAGAAGACAAGATTGTAAGGTGAGTGGATGAGCTGTGAGTGATTAACAGATCAAATTGGAGAACAATATAGTTATCAAACATTGAACTATACTTGATGGATGCTAACAAACCAACTACTCTACAACATATTGGGATGCATTGAGAAGTTTCTTTAAAATGCTGATAAACAAAGAATTTGAAGATGATAATCTCATGTAATTCTTATCTCTTACAAGGGGAAAGTTTGGGGGGGGAAGGGGGGAAAGGTTCACCAGTCTCCCCTGGACCCTTGGAATATCCGGCTAAATTCTGGTCCAAAGTGACAACGTGGTAACGGCACCCATTTTCCAATGAAGAGCAAAAACAACAAGGGCAAAGTAACAACAGCACTGTATCCTTCTATATCCAGTCACCATTCCCTCCAAATCCATATTTTCATTTTGACAGATTAGCTGATTGAAAAAAATAGGAGTAATACCATAATTTAGATTTTTAAAGGAATTTTTCAAAAGTTACTGGAGAACAAGTAATTATATCATTTGGTAACAATTTAAAGTACAAATTTATAAATAATTTATATATTATATAATCTCCCAAGAGCTTATGATCCTCTTTAGACCACATAGCTTGTATTTTGATTCAGATAATGCTGGCAGGAATGGAAAGTAAACAAAAGGCACAGTTGATATACTTAGATTTGGTCTTGTTGGTTAGCTATCAAAAGTTTAAACTGGCAAAACAATGGAAAGAAAGGTTTATCACTAATCAGGCCAGGCTCTACAATATTTGTCCATGGCAAGATGTGTAAATAGCGAATGGGAGAATAGAGTCCACCATCACACACACACACAAAGTTGATTAAAGTGCATCTAATTAATGTATATATAAAGTATGTAAAAATTAGCGACAAAAAAGAAAAGTTTATAATGTTGTAAACGATTCTGATGATGCAATATGGTGTGAAAACAATAAAAAAAAGAGAGAGCAAGCTATAATATATAGAGTAGAAATTTCTCTAAAAAAACCATGGCTTAAAAACATGGCAACTTCTGGTCTCATATGGAAGTAGTGTCTTAGTGCACAGGTTAGATTTGGTTAGACTAGGTCAAATTTTATCTTTTTTACTTAGTCATCAAATGGATGACTTAAAGGAAGTTTAACCATAAATGGAGAAATTGTGAAAGTAATTGATGAACAATTGTTAAGCCTTCTACATGCTATTGGACTTAGCATTCTAAGGCAAAACTCATCATTATAGGTGCTTGTGAAAGTAATTCTAACAAAGGTATTCTGGCCGTCCATCCAGTAGTTACAAGGAAGTTGTCCAAATAACAGTGAACAATACACGACTTTTGGGAGAGGCTGCTACTTATCATTAAACAGCTCAAGGAACATCAACTCGTAGAATTTGTGTAATCTTTGCACAAGGGAATAAGAAACAACAACAACACAGTTAACAATACTATATCATGAGTGCAGGTTGATAAGGTAACAAGAATACATCCAAATAAATAACTTAGGCATGTCTTTTCAGTAAGAGTGTTGTTACCATCTTCAAACAAAAGTACTGAATACTAAAAAAAAAAAAACAAAAAAAAAAAAAGATTCCATAGTTAGTCTGAAGAAGACAGTTAACAACACTGTTACTGAAACATCAGTATGCAGTTCTATGAATTAACTTAAAAGAATATTCTGTACTCAGAGTCAAATAATAATCATGCAGTTTTTCTTAATTATTGTCTTAACATTAAGATATAAAAAATTGATTTATATATTGCAACATTTATGAATTTTGTTATTAATTATTTCATTTTTTTTCACTCCTTTTTAAAATATAAAATTGAAAGTTCTTTTTTTTTTATCATTATTACATGCAAAGTATTAAAAAAAAAAACAACAACAATTCTAGAAAACACAGCAATAAAATAATTTATATTCCCAGCCTGGTCATAGTACTTTTAATATATTCCGCTTTACGCGGCCATTGGGGCTCAAAAATCATTTTATTTTGGTTAGTAGCCCCATAAATAAAGATATTTCCGTAATTTGTATCTAACTTATTATAAAACAACAACAAACATGTATAAACATATTATAAAATTTAAAACAAAACGAATATACAGTAAAACCTTGCTAAAACAAACCTGGGATATATGGAACCTACCCTTGTAATGAACCTGAAATAATCCTCATTTTTTATTTTACAATTCAGTAAACTATTAAGACACAACAATCTCCCTCTTTGCTATAGAAGAATAAGAAACACAGGTCAGGGAGAAGAACTTCTTTACATAAGAGGATGATCTACAAGCTTTTGGACAAGATGCCCTTCTACAGGTGCAGAATCACACAAGAGGCAATTCTATATACAGTTACGAGCGTCATTCTTCATCTCCTAATCAACTCTGTCACCGTTTGCTTTTTTTTTTTTGGAATGGCGCCCTCCTATTGGTTGGCTACGATCACGCCACCTTTGTCCCCCCCCCCATCATGCCACCCCCACTCGCTTTATCGTTTATGTAACTATTGTGTTGGAGCGGGTCGCTCCTTAAATAAATGCATATATTAGTTAATAACTAAATGGAATCCTCTCTTTCTTTTTCCCAGTATGAGACGCCTACGGAAGCCAACAGTACATAGACAGATAAAGCACATAGGCTATAGTTATTAACTAATATATGCATTTATTTAAGGCGCCAATTTATAATTGTAACAAATAGTATTTGAATAAAAACATTCAATCGGGTAAAACACGGGTGTTGCCCGGGTCATTCGGCTAGTGGTTTATATATACAAGAAAATAAGACCTAATCCAAATATTCCTTTGTCTGATGATGGTGACAATGTTGTTGCCGAAACATCACACACTAATAAATTATTTGGATTAGGCCTCATTTTCTTGTATTGCAATCTATAATACAAATTGTGCTTTATCGGTTTATAAATATTTACACTTTTCTATATAGGCTCAAGTAGCATGAACTCATGGAATTTGTGTAATCTTTACACAAGTGGATAAGAAATAACAACAACACTTTTTTATGACAATGTTTTGCAAAATTCAAAACTTTTTATATGCTATAGCATAATAAGGCACAATTTGGGTTATAGAATATAAACACAAGGTAATAAGACCAAATATAAATAAATAAATAAATAAATAGTGTGTGACGTTTCGGTAACAGTGTTGTTACCATCTTCAGACAAAAGTACTGAATATAAACATCCAGTACTTTTGTCTGAGGATGGTAACAATTCTGTTGCTGAAACGTCACACACTATTTATTTATTTGGATTTGGTTTTATTACCTTGTGTTTATATTTTATAGCATAGAAATTGTAAAATTTTAAAAATAAAACTACAACCTTTCGCAATGAGTTTCTTTTTTTTTTTTAGAAATTGTCATGAAAAAGTATATATATATGTCGTATCTGTCATGGTTGAATGGAAGGACACAGCCATCGTGCATGTAAGCTTCGAAAAAGAACTTGTTCCACACTCGTGAGTGAGTGTTCCACACTTCGTCCACACGCGCTGGCTCCCATGTTTATTTTGTACAGATTTATAGATGGGTGAATTTGTATTTTAACATATTAATTATAACGAAAATAAATTATATCTCTTGGGCATTAGGCAAATTATTATTATTATTTTTTGCTTATCCCTAGTACACGTGGTACAGCCCATGATAATCATGGTGAGTAGTTAGCGACTGCTTTTTTACTGTAAGCGCACCACATGTCTACACATGTGAAAAGCAGTTCGACTTTGCACTTACAAATATGCCAGAGCCCCGTTTGGTTACTTGCACTCGCTGGTGGGGTTGAACTTTTGCAAGAATCGAGGGCCATTCGAGCTTTTTTTTTTTTAAACAGAAAAAAGTGTCCGATGCGGTAATTGAACCCGGGTCGTAGTGGTCAAAAACCAAACGGTTTAACCAGCCTTCCACCGACCCCCCAGGCAAATTATGACATATATATAAACCATTGCCACTTATTTCATTCTGTACCCATAGAAGTGTGCCTTGCCTCAAAACTTGTTCAATCGTTTCTTATCTAAAGAAGCTCTTCTCTCCGACCTGTTTTTTATTCTTCAGTAAATGATAGCTATAACGAACCATGGCTATAGTAAACCACAGATTCAATTCCATTGGGGCTTGCTATAGAGAGGTTTTACTGTATATATATATATAAACTCAATGTAAATAGGATTAATAAAATATTAAATAACATTCTTGTGTGGCTTTGTTAAAATTAGCAAACACTTAAAATAAAAGCATAAAAACCATGCATTAATACAGAATGATTGATCAAATATAAATCTCTGAGGAAAGGTTTCTTTATTACACTTTTAACGAGTTTACAAGTTTTTGGGTTTTAAATGACTCTTCTAGAAAAGGATTATCTAAAAATGTTTACCTGTAGAAGGGTCGTTTAAAACCAGAAAACTTGTAAACTTGTTAAAAGTGTAATAACTTATTTGAAAATTATCTCTCATAGGTTTCTTTTGAACGAAAAATAGAAATTTATTTTAAGGAGAAATAACGATTATTTCTAACCTTAGGAATAAAATATGAAAAGATGAATTGTGAAGAGTAATGATAAACTGAAAATAAAAGTGTCCAGGGATTGGAATCGAACCCACATTGTTCTGCTTACCGGGCAAGATGCTATGTGCACTAGGCTACCCTGGACATATTTCTCCATTCGTAAATAGTAATTCGTAAAAAGTAATTTATAATAAAATATAATGCAGCTTACTTGTAGTTCAACAATCATAAGCAGCATTATATTGTATAGAAACTTATCCTTGGAGAGATTTATATTTGTGATTAATCTAATTGATACAGAGGATTCTAATATTGATATAGAATCTATAATTCAAATTGGGTCTTATCTTGAGCACATGTGAATTATGAGGTTGTGGATGAACTTTTATGATATTTAGATGACCAACAGTGGGATGAATAGGTTATATGTGGATAAACACATTTAAGTAAATCAAACACAACAACCTCGTGGAGAATAAAACTTCCAACATATCAACAATTACTGCATTCTTTCTCAGGGGGGAACATTTATTCAATTATCCTAAAAGGATGTTAAAATTAACACAAGGTAATTAGACCACATCCAAATATATAAATAGTTTGTGATGTTTCGTTAACCGCATTGTTACATTCATCAGACAAAAGTATTTCACTATTTATTTGGATTTGATCTTATTACCTTGTGTTTCTAATCTAAATTGTGTCTTATAACGACCTTAAATTTAATTATTTGAGGTGTTCAATAAAGATTTACTTTGAGGAAGACTGCAGTAGCTAGCAGGTTTGATCCCCAATATAAGGTTGTTGTGTTTGATTTACTTGAAACAACACAAGAATGATAAAATATAGTCAGTTATGATCACATCTGGCGTAGGGGACTGAAGCGCTGGCTTGCACACCGACTCCTGCACAAACCCACAATCACCACACACACAATGTCAGATATATTTGTGAGAACATGTGTCATAGATGTAGACATGTGCACATATGGATCGAATCAAGATATAGGTGATTGTAGTATTTGACTATATGTTAGGTTTGAGTTGTAATCCATTGAATATAATTATAAGGCACAATTTGGATTGAAGTCTATAAAAATGATAAGGCACAATTTGGATTTTTATAGACTTGAACAAAAATACTAAATTATGAGAAAAATTATTTTAAGAGACAATTTAAAGAAGCCTTTTTCATTCAAAAGAAATGTGCTACAATTAACAGAATGGAAGAATGAGGAAATATCAATGATATTTACAGATATGATTTTACTTATATAAAAAAAAAAAAAAATGTGATTTAGGTTTTCTCATTCAGTACTTTTGTCTGATGATGGTAACAACACTGTTACCCAAATGTCACACACTATTTATGTATTTGGATTTGGTCTTAATACCTTGTGTCCATTAAATATAATTATATAAAAAATGGGTATATCTGGAGATCTGTGAAAAATAAAAATCCTTTTTTTTTCACAGATTCAGGTACATTATTTTTTTTATATTATTACACTCATGGAGACATAACATAAGGAAGTTGTACCTTTTAACATGTATATCGGGATTCAGACAATAACTCTGAAAGATATTTGATACACAGTGACCTTTATTGAAGACACACAAGATAACTCAGTGTGGACAAAATTGGCTCTATATACTTTTTTAAAAAATGATGATCGGCAACATCAGAGTGTATATGTGTTAGGTGTTTTTCTAATGGATCTCCTATGTAAGGTCATTTTATTGATCAAAGAAGAAAACTCCTATTTCTTTTTAGATAAAATTTTTAAAATATACAGTTAAACCTGTCTATAGCTGTAGAATCTCCATGAGAGGATACTTCCACTAGAAAACATCTCTACAAAGCCAGTTTTCATCGCCAAAATTACCATTTTTACTATTTATCTGCACTCCAGTAAGAGGACAGCTCTCTTTAAAGGACACTTTGACTCGGCAACTAGGTGTTATCCTTTTACAGAGAGGTTCTACTGTATGTAATTGGGAGGAGGAAATTATTTGTTTTCCTTCTAAAATTGACATTGCCACTAAGGCAACAAACTCCTCTTTGGCAAATTCCCAAGAATCCATTAGTCTTCTTGTGAAATCCAAATCATCCCAAGACACTCACATTAAAGCCTGAAACCTGAAAGCCCAAAAATGATTTTAGGGGGAGGTTTTAAGTTTTCCAAAGCTGTTATTGTTGCTTATTCCCTTGTGCAAATATTACACAAATTCTATGAGTCCATGTTCGTCGAACTGTTTGATGATAAGCAGCAGCCTCTCCCAAAGGTCCTGTTTAGTACATCTTAGTGTAGCCTAAGCTGCTCTGGTGTCAATTCAACCACATGCTGTTAGATTAGACAGTCAATAGATAGCACATGATTTTGTATCTAATTTTTAAAATGGAAAAAAATGGCAAAACCTTTCCAAAATTAAAATTTAAAGCAAAAACAAGGTCACCAAGCAGAAAAGCTTAGTAATACAAACACAAGTAGAGAGGCAAAACCTTCCAAAATAAACAACAAAGAAACAAACAATGCAGCGCGGAGGGTCACAAGTCACCTGGAAGACCAACGATGCAGGACACAGAGCTGTCACCTTCGTCTAAGGCCCCTGACATCTTCTACAGTCTCAGGCAGAGGCTTGTCCTTGGTCTCAGGCAGGTCCAGTGTGGCCAGCCCTGCCACAAGGGCACAGGCCCCGAACAGGAGGTAGGGTAGCGGCCGGTACACCTGAGTCTGTCAGCACACAGGACGATTGTTGGACCAGTAGGCAGAGGTTTGAATCTGTAATGGCCAACCTCCCACATACACTGACATATTGCTGGACTAGTGGCCTATGACCACGTTACCTACGACCGCCCACCCCGCCTTCTGTCACAGAGAGCAACATGGGATTGTCTGCCAGCTTTGTTTGTCATTATGTAAATATGTCCATGCAAGCTTTGCTTTTAGATACAAGCAAAAGCTTTGCATTAGTTTTCCCTTTAATATCCTTTTTTTCTTTTTACATTCTAATAAAATTAAAGTTTACATAGAAAGGTTTCTCTGATAATTGCTCTAACAAAATTTAAATTGATTTTTAGTGATACATAGGAATTGTCTATAAATCAAATTAATCCTGGTAGATCTCTAGAAGCTCCTAAATATGCAATGACCGATCTACTGTAGAAACATAATGAGAACAAATGGATTAGAAAAGATGATGTTACAAAAATTGAAGGAGAGAAGAAAAAAAGAGAGGAAGACCTCTAATGAGCTGGATGGAAGGGGTCAAAAAGAAGCTACCAGAAAATCACTGCAAGATGAACTGCGAATGATAGTTCACCAAATTGTAGAGAATATTTATTCACACAGTTAACCAAAAAACTCTGCCTTTGCCGGTTCTAAGCTCGGATGAAAGACTTGTAAGTATTCCAAAGTAGATATGAGGGAAACACTGACCAGAGTGATGACCAGAGGAGCAGCGATGCCTCCCAACCGGGCGGCCATATTGCAGACTCCCACCCCGGTGTTACGGAGAGGTGTGGGGTAGACTTCAGCTGTGTAGATGTAGACTGCAGCGAAGGAACCAGCGATGGAACCTTTGCCAATCACAGCCAGCAGTGTGGTGGCCCACTTGGCAGAACCTGGACACACAGTCAGGTCAGGGAGTGACATCTGTAGGGGGAGGTTGATGGGATAGTGAAGTGGTTGAAGCATCACAGATAGGATTATGTGAGCAATAATTGATAAGGTACAATTTGGATTATAGATTATAAACACAAGGTAATAACACCAAATCCAAATAAATAAATAGTGTGTGACGTTTCGGTAACAGCGTTGTTACCATCTTCAGACAATTCAGTACTCTTATACTGACTATACACACTATTTATTTATTTGGATTTGTTATTATTACCTTGTGTGAGAAATAATTAAGAATATATTGCAGCAAAGTATTTATTATTTTAACAGATTATCAATTTTGATATATACTGTATATATATTTTTTACTTATCCTTTTAGTCTAAATTAGACAAGATCTTGGAGGTCGTGCTCATATAGAAGTTTTATATTTTGTTAATCTGTAAACTTCCCCTATTGCTTATCTTTTTTTATCATTTATAATTTGTATTTTCTCCTCTCAAATAAATTGCTGTGTCATCCTGAAGTTTGCCTTTCCTAATTTACCATGTTGCAATATATTTAGATGGAAATATTGTCAAGAGGATATTTTGACCTATATAAATATGATGGTCTGTTTCCTATTTATCTTGCTTAAATTTGATTAGGTACAACTTGATTATGGATTAGAAACACAAGGTAAATAGACCATATAAATAGTATGTGAGGTTTGCGGCACCGACCTGCGGGGACGTACTGAGCGCTACAGATGCAAGCCCCTGCCAGGATCAGCAGCAAGGAGAGAGTGGGCCGACGTCCCAGCCGCTGCATGGCCAGGGTTGCCAGAGCCACGGCTGGTATCTCCACCAGGGACAGCAAGATGAAGTTGAGGAAGATGGAGCCAATAAGCTGGCCCGCACTCATGGACACTCCGTAGTATACCAGGGAGTTGGTGAACCTGATCACATGTTGGTACTTACTTGAAGGCACATAGGGAACAACTCCTGTGTCGCACTTACTCTGTGTATTATATAGAATATACAGAAGACACTCCTGCTAGAGGACAGTTTTCATCCTCAAAATTACCATTTTTACTAATTAGCAACTCTCTGGTACTTACTGGCATATGGTACTTACTTTGTTCCACATGCATGTGATAGATAATGTTGCACGATAGTTATTAATACATACGGGGGCCTATTGACCTACCAGTTGAAGATGAGGTTCAGGGTGGAACGGCGGAGATCTGAGATCCTGACAAGGTCAATGTAGCCGTACTCTTTAGGCTGGGAGGTGGAGAGAGATCCAAGCAGGGGAGTCTGTTGAACAAACATTTGTTGTTATAAAATAAATGAAGCTTCCAAGTTTCTTGTGCAACTTTTTATTTTCAAACTTTCGGACTTGTCAGTCCTTCAACATGATCATCACATTAAAAACTTAATAAATACAATTTTTATATATACGTTATTATATACATATTTTAAATACTTATTATATATTGAAAGAAAAATATATTACATTGTTTCAGTTTGAAAAACTAAAT